AGTTTTGTTTAACTGTACTATCCTGTATTTACCTTTTTTATATTAACGATAATGATTTTTGTGCTTGTGCTTAAATGTTGACCTCTTTTAGTGAGGCTTTAAAAAATCCATAATATTTTAGCTCATCTAAAATAAGTGACTTTAGCCATTCCTAGTCAAAGAATAGTGACTTGACCAGACAGATTATATCACTAAAATTAAGCATTTAAATCTAATTTACAGTAAAAACAAAACTACAAAATGTTTCTTCTAATAGGCATTGTAATATTGTGGTTATTGAAGTGAATATTGGTTTATAGGGCAGACCTATGTATAATTTTAATAAAATTCATGTGTCATGAAAAAGTCATGCACAACCTAAATTAAAATAGAAAACTAGTCTGCAAACAGGTTTGCTCACAAGCATGACACAGAAGAGTTTCCAGAGGAGGATTTTGGATTTCCTCATACAGACTGTCACACATTTACAGAAAACAGATTTATAATCATGAAGTAACAGTAACCATTTATGCCAGTTTGTCATTAAGAAATTGCTTCTAAACTGGTTTATAAACACTGATGACTTTAAGGGAGGATGTAAGTCTTATTTTATGACTAGTTGTAATTCTTTGTAGGGAGTGTTACAGTTGTTTTCATGTCTTCATCATGTTTCTGTTGCACAGTTAGTATTTCTAGTCCCACTCTAGTTATGTGTAGATTTCCACAATCTTCCCTGTAAGATATTTTTGCTACCTTCTCTCTTTTGCAGTGTTTTACCATAAACGTGGCCTCCCTGGGCTGACAAGATGGGATAAATGATCCTTCTGTTCTAGAGTCAACAGATCTTGGCAGTGTGGATGGGAGGGGCTGTCTGCTGGGAATCCTTCTGGTCTGAGCTGTAACCTTTCCTGGAACACACCTCAATTTTTGTTCAGCAGCCACAGATTCTACCCCCTTCCAAATCCAGCCCCCAGATGCATGCGATTGGCTGCTGTCGAAGAAACAACAATAGGGGAAGGACAAAAGCCAGTAAGTAGGAACATGCAGCACATTGTGGCCACAGCAATCTTAAAAGGTGGAGAAGATGAGAAAGGGATAAATGAAAGGGTAGTTCAAAGGCAGACTAGAGCTCACCTGAAAACAAGAACTTGCTGTTAAAAGTTTTCACAAATGGCTTTTTCAAACTTCTGCCTTTCAAACTTCCTTTCTCTCTCTTTCACCCACTTTCCTTTTTCTCTTCCTTCTGAGTGACGTCCACCCAGTTAAATGCAACATTTCTGCTCAGACCCACAAAGCAGCCACAGCCAGGGGGAGAAAGAAAGTATTGTTTGGCCACAAAACCACCATTATATCAACAATAACTCATGAAGCCAATACAGAATATGAAGAGAATAGTGTGTGCGTGCGTGTGTGTGAGAGGAAATGCATTGTGTTGGGGGGTGTTGGTGTGCTTTGGAGAAATTAAGGTCATCAAACCAAGTTAACTTGGTTTTATTTGGGTTGTTATGTTTTGAATAATGTTTAGTTTCCTTCTTGTTTGAACCAAGGTTTGACCTAGTGGTAATTTGACATGTCCATCACAGTATAAATCCTTGTTTGATGAATAAATCCCTCCATTTTAGATATGGAGACAAAGACACATGTATCTGCTAACTTATTTGATGATAGAGTTTTACTTTTAATTTTGACTCGGTCCTTCTGTTCCACCTTTACTTGACCCTCTAACTCTAGCACTTTCTATTCTATTTTAATTCTACTTTATCTATATTTATCTTCTTTGTGTGTATAATATATGTGTGTATATATATATATATACACACACAAACCCGATTCCAAAAAAGTTGGGACACTCTACAAATTGTGAATAAAAACAGAATGCAATGTGGAAGTTTCAAATTTCAATATTTTATTCAGAATACAACAGATGACATATCAAATGTTTAAACTGAGAAAATGTATCATTTTAAGGGAAAAATAAGTTGATTTTAAATTTCATGGCATCAACACATCTCAAAAAAGTTGGGACAAGGCCATGTTTACCACTGTGTGGCATCCCCTCTTCTTTTTATAACAGTCTGCAAACGTCTGGGGACTGAGGAGACAAGTTGCTCAAGTTTAGGAATAGGAATGTTGTCCCATTCTTGTCTAATACAGGCTTCTAGTTGCTCAACTGTCTTAGGTCTTCTTTATCGCATCTCATTTGTAAGTCGCTTTGGATAAAAGCGTCTGCTAAATGACTAAATAAATAAATAAGATAAGATAAAATAAGATAGAGAGCGGGAAACAAATACACAGTGCAGGAATGCTGTTTTTTCATGCACACAGAGTCTGATGTAACAAGCCTTATGACTCTTTATATGGTCTGAAGGGTCTTTTCATGCTTTTATTTGCAACTATGAGGAACAAAATGCTGTCCAAAATGGTCTAATTTATTTATTCAAGCTAATAATCAAATTATACAACATAAAATAATTGCGCATACCTAGAGGGATAAAGTCGAAGCTGATACCTGTCCAGCACATTACATCAAATGTAATAGTATACTGTATTATTAAAGGATAAGGTAAGGTGTGCAGCTTTTCAAAGGACATGGGAAGAACCGACATACCTCTATGATATCTGACAGTTCTCAATATTTGTCTTATAAAAATTCTGTTATTCAGAACACTGTGGAATATAAGCACAAAAACACTATGAGTTTCCATTGCTCTGAAGCAACAAAGCAGCACTATTCAATCGGCCTTTTCAAAAATAAAGACTGCACATGAAAAGGTGCCAATTGTGTTAGTGAAGCAAACTTCTTGATTTTTTTTTTTTAAATCAGGGGTGGGTTTTATTTCAACTTTAGACTGAAACAGATGAAGCATGTTCATTCATGTACTTGTAGTGCATTTAAGGAAATGGCTTATCTGCATTGACACTTGAATAAAGAGGGAAAGTGCATGCACAATCCTTTTCAGTTGGCACCATGCCCCATTGCTCCATTGAAGGCCTGCATATGTGCACAATGCACTGATTTTTCATCTGTCTACAACTAAATTACAAAAAGGAACAAAACAAGACAAAAGACAAGAATCTACATGAAGGAAAGCAAAAGTGAGGAACCCTTGTGAAAGTATGCTTATTGAATTGAATGTGCACTTGTGGGGTACTTCAAATCTTAAAGGTATATTTAAAAAAAAAAAAAGTACTTGAAGATAATATAATATTAATATTTGTAAGTACACTTCTTTGACCATATTTCAAAAGCAAAAAAACAAAACACACACAAAAAACGTGAAATTACATATAAACAGCAGTTCAAATATTTGCGTTTAATATAAATGTATTAAAAAAAGATTTTAAGTGGCCAAATATTTTACATTCATTTTGCACTTAAGTAGCCTATATTATTTTAAAGTACATTATTTCCATAAGTGTACTTCTTTCCCAAGTACTACTACTTCACAAGGGAACAATGAGCCAAAAATATTTCAGGGGAGCCCTGGATGATTAAAAACATCAGTTTTTAAATCAAACAAACAAACAAACAAAAACAACAACTTAAAGTCTTTCTTTAACGCCTTCACGTTAAATAACAGAAATCATATTTACATTGTTTTGTATTTGTTTTCAATTAGGCTACTTGTTTTGAATTAAAACGTTTAAAATTAATTGACTGTCGGGGTGGTGATGAGAGTGGATTAATAATTGTTTTACATAAATTCATACTCAAAATTTTAAATAAAGCCTAGGCTACATGTTTTCAGTTGGAATTACTACCAATCCAGCTACCTTGTAGCCTTTGTTATTGACTTTTTTGGGGGGGATAAGTTGTTATTTCAAAACCACTTTCATTTGTAGATGACAAATATTAGGAATATCGTAAGATACACTGATGTTACAGAAGTTTAAACAAAATTGTACATTTTCGTACTGGCCTCCCATATGACTAAGAAAGACAATGTCGGCCTATTCAAATGGATTCAACAGAACTGTTACAATATTAATAATAATTAAAGCTGCAAGCAGTGTTGAAAGGGCCCTTGCACCCGGAGCCACCGCTAAGCGGTGACCTTAGAAAAACAGTGAACGCTGGATGCATTATGCATTAAAAGTGGTAAATATAAGAGGAATAGGTCACAGTCATTTATATGTGCCAATCTTCTTGCTGCCAGCTGGTGGCGCTATGACTATAACTGAATATTGGCATGTGGATGTCTTTAGGCCAGGACTTTTATCAAACGTGAAGTTTGGGGCAGCTCGGACATTGTATGGCTGAGTTATATCAACTTGCTTTTCCATGACAAAACATCGAAATATGTCAGGCCGCCACGGACAAGTCCTTTAGCGAAAACTCAAGATCTTCGCAATTTAACATTGCAAAGGGCTTTAGATTAGACTGACCAAATATGGTGTTGATCTGATTAAATCTAGGAGTTCATTCAAATTCAAGCCTGAAAATGGCAAAAACGGCGCAAAATTTGCCGAGAAATTTCAAAATAGCAGACTTCCTGATGTGTTTCGGAATTAGCTCCAAGAGACTTTTTTGTAGGTATTGGTGTGTTACATGTGTCTACCGAATTTCATACATGTACGTGAAACGTAGCGGGAGGGGCACTTCGTTGAAAGAGTATAGGTGGCGCTATGGAGCCATTTTGTCACACCCGTTTTCACAACTTCTGGCGTGTGTGCAAGTTTCATGACTTTTCGAGCATGCTTTAGGCCTTCAAAAATGCGATTCATTTTGGAGAATAATAATAATAATAATAATAATAATAGGCTAATAATAATAATAAACGGAGAAATTCCAAGAGGGTCCTCGCACCGCAGTTCTCGGGCCCTAATAATAAAAATACTCTAGGAGTAATTTCAAAAGGCCTAATATTTCCCTCTCAAAGAAAAAATGGATTCCTGTTTCATTCTTTCATGAAGAAGACTTCCATTCTTTCTCCGCGCGCTCTTTTCATTTCGTCAGTGAACACAAACTCCCTCCCCTCTCGCCACGCGCTATTGAACGCTCGCGCGGCTCAGAGAACTTTACCGACTCTCTCTCACGCCACACGGCGGAACACAGAGAAGACCGATACTTTCGCCTTTGGTCGCAGATATAAAACAACTTTTAATTCCTCTGCTCTGGCGATCACGCTCACTTCTGGATATAGATGACTTTATGGAGATGCACTTTGCTTGATCTTGAGGCGTTTGTTTTCACTAGTTTTGCTGGGATTTTACGTTTCTCGGTTGGTACAGTCGGAAAAAAAACATGCCGGAGAAAATAAGTATTTCGGATTTTGTATCTTTGGCGAAAGAGGACCTATCGTCCCCGGTAAGCTCTGGATTTCAGTCTAAAATGAGCGACTGTCGGAGCACCGTGGCCGCGCTCGAAGAGGTAAGGGCGCGTGCAAGCGCGTTGTTTATCTGCGCAGGTGCACAACACCTGAGTGAATCCCTGTGAAAATCTCGGACACACACACAAAACATTTTAATTGCACCCATGTCAAGACTTTTTAATATGAGAAAAACACTATTATTTTGAATTTAGCCTAACTTAATGACATTTTGGTTGCAGAGTTTATATTAATCAGTTTTACGTGTGCACAGAGTAATAAAATGGTCCATCCTTTTCATTTTTAAATTGTTATGAGTCAGGGTGACCTTTCGAGTCTACAACGATAATTTATCTGAAGATAAACTGGGAAAAGGTTAGTTGAGCATGTCCGTAGATAGTGTAAACTACGCCTGTGGTTACTCTTCAAGGAGGACACCTGTGTGGACAACAGAACTGACCTTTTGCCATTTAGTGAACTGTTGCTAGTCAATCTTTTTTAAACACTAGTGGTTTGAATGCCCCACTGACCACTTTATGGGCTTGTGTTGTGGTAAATAGTCAGAGGATGGCACAGGAGTCACAACAAGTAAGAGACAGAGACAAGTAAACTTGGCGCTTAGATGTTCGATGTCTTAAATAGCGAGACTGGAATGACGAGGGACAAACACAGAACCACCCCACAGTCCTTCACAGCTGCATCATTTAACTGAGGAATAGTGTTGATATAGTTCATTACAGAGGAGCAGGACTGATAACAGACTCGGTACTTGTTGTGAGGTCTTATAAACGTTATATTGGTCTTTGGCTGCCAGCTCATCTATAGGCATTTGTGTGGATATTAATGGAGAATAGAGAAATCCTGCCAGCACTCAATAACACTGGGCATGTCGGGACAGTGGAAGCCTTTCATTTATTTCCGCCTGTTTCATGGGAAATGGTTTAAGTTTTTTTTTCAGGAATTTCAAGTTCTAGAGCAGTGGTTATCAATTTCAGTCCTGGCGACCCACCGCTCTGCATATTTTGCATGTCTCTCTTATTTAACACATCTGACTCAGATCATTAGCTCGTTAGAAGAGAGCTCCATGCATGAACTGTGTTCCGATTGACAGGGTCCCTACACAGTGTTTATTGCTTACTACTCCCTGAGCATGGGAAATCTGGTGAAGTTTATTTCACTTCGAAACATTCATTCATGGATTTGCACTACGCCACAGCCTGCAGAACTTCACACCCAGATAAAAGTTACTAGAGAAGTGTGAAGTGTGACATAATGTACCTCTGTAAATACCTACACAGTGTTTATTGCTTACTACTCCCTGAGCATGGGAAATCTGGTGAAGTTTATTTCACTTCGAAACATTCATTCATAGATTTGCACTACACCACAGCCTGCAGAACTTCACACCCAGATAAAAGTTACTAGAGAAGTGTGAAGTGTGACAATGTACCTCTGTAAATAAATACAATCACGTTTTGCACACTTTAATGATCAGTGTTTGAAGTCTTGTTTGGGTTTGAGGGGCAAAGTTTTTTTATGTTTTCATTTGCTGAGACGCTGGCTAATGGCTGGCAGCATGCTGAATGTTCTGCAGGAGGAGGCCACGGATAGAAACCTTTGGACAGATGAGTTTGCAGTGCAAACTTTTAAATAACTTTTGATAATTATTGAATTAGAAATTACACTTTGTATGTTGCTGTTTGTATATGTGTGTATGTGTGTGTGTGTGTGTGTGTGTGTTTGTTTGGCATCATATAAATAAATACAATCACGTTTTGCACACTTTAATGCCCTTTGAATTGAACATATACACTCCATTTGAACTAGAATCATGGTGGAATATCCTGTGAAGTCCACTTCGCAGGGCACTTACGATCGAATAGAACAAATGTCTGAAGTGATAAGAGATAGGCCTACATACAAAATGTGCGGAGTGGTGGGTCGTGAGGACTGGAATTGAGAACCACTGTGGTTTTCAACCAGAGAGCTGGGGCCTCGACAAATTTCCAAGGGGGCCACAGGATGGCACAAAAGTATTTAAATAAATACATTATTATTAATATAGTAAAATAATTAAATTCTAATCTAAATTAAAATAGTAAATCACAAAACCAATCATATTTCTTTTCCCCCCTCAATAATTATTATTTTTATTGAAGAACATAAAGTTCTCAAAATTCCTGGAATGGCAGAATGAATGGTTAATATCAATGTTCCCAATTTCTGTTAATAAAAAGTTTTAAAACAGAAAATGTTATTTTGGGGTGCCTTTGAATATTGTGCTCTTAAAGGCTTGCAGGAATGGTCTTACTTTATCAAGGGTTATCGATTAACGGAATAGTTCACCTAAAACCTTTACTCACTCACACTTGTTCCAATCTTGTTGGACTTTCTTACATGGAACACAAAAGTAGATATTTAGCAGAATGTCCAAGCTGCTTTTTTTCATACAGTGAAAGTAGATGGGGAACAGGGACAATCATGATCGCCATTCACTTTCATTGTGTGGGAAAAAGCTGCTTGGACATCATGTTAGATGGCTTCCATTGTGTTTTACACAATAAAGAAAGTTCAGCGCGATTGGAATGGCATGAGGGTGTTAATTGGGGTGCAGGTGATGAACATTTGGGTTGAACAATGCCTTCAAGCACCACTTGAGCAACGCAAAGAGTTCCGAAACTAATACTAGGTTTTGTGGAAATATTCTTTAGAATGAACACAGAAAGAGAAGATGGAAATAACTTTAGTTTTCTTGAATGAGTCAAGAGATGTTTGTGTGATCGTTTTTTTTTCTGGATTATAAATTCGGTCTGCTCAGTTCCTGATGTTGCAGATATGCGGTGTTTGTCCAAATTACTTGTGCAAATATATAAAGTTGTGACTGTGTTACAGTCTTTCAAATCGTCAAAGTAGAGGTTTAAGTGTTTGATATACCCAGGGGCATCGTGTGTGTGTGTGTGTGTGTGTGTATAACTGAGTGTGTTTTCATGAAGATCAGTGTTTGAAGTCTTGTTTGGGTTTGAGGGGCAAAGTTGCAAAGTTGTGTTTTCATGAAGATCAGTGTTTGAAGTCTTGTTTGGGTTTGAGGGGCAAAGTTTTTTTATGTTTTCATTTGCTGAGACGCTGGCTAATGGCTGGCAGCATGCTGAATGTTCTGCAGGAGGAGGCCACGGATAGAAACCTTTGGACAGATGAGTTTGCAGTGCAAACTTTTAAATAACTTTTGATAATTATTGAATTAGAAATTACACTTTGTATGTTGCTGTTTGTATATGTGTGTATGTGTGTGTGTGTGTGTGTGTGTGTTTGTTTGGCATCATACAGTGTGTGTAACACTTCGCATCAGATGTAAGCACACACCCACCATAGTCATACCACGAATCAGCAGATTTGATGTGACTAATGAATGTATTTCTAGCCGTCCTCACTCCCTTTGGGCGTAGTATAGATGACTTCCCCAGCCGCTAACACTATCACATATCCTAGTATCGTCAATGCACTTAGGCTATAGTGACCAGTCTTTGAGAGGTTTGGCTGGGGCATTGTGTATAGAGGGCAGTGAACTTTACAAACTACGCTAATGTTGTCATTCTGTTGCCTTTGTGGAGCTCATTTGGTGCTACACATGCTAAAGATGATGTCAGTATTTATTGTTCCAGTAATGCCTGTATAATATTTCTGACATTCATAATGCCATTATTCAGTATAATTAGTGTTAGAGATTTCTAAAAGAGTATGGTGAAGCTACTATTTTGAAAACTCCTCCACACTACAAGCTATTAAAGTAATTAGTATGCTGAAGTAAGCAAGCACTACCTTTTTACATGATCAGATTATATAATTTATTTTTATTTAGCAGTATTTATTAGGCACAAAAACAATAAGGATCATGATTACAGTTACAGCATTTAACTTGGACACAAATTTACACTAAATAAATAGTTTAAAATATATGGCTGCAAAAAAGGGTTTCACAGGGCCTTAAAGAAATCAGTGAACTCTTTTAGTGAATCAGTTTGTTCAGACTGTAAATCAAAGCTAATTATTTTAGTTTTATGAGTTGTTGAAACATAATATGTAAAGATAAGCCCTCTACTTTCTGTTTGATATCCATCATGTAGGATTTAAATCCCCCCCCCAAACCCACTCTTCTGGAGTCCTATATATAATGGCGATTAAACTTTTTGAGATAATTTCTATCCTGAGACGACCACAAACACACTCAATAGGGCATTTTCAAATGTGTTTATAATGTTCTTGAAATCCATATCTTCTGTTTGTACATGGGAAGTGCCCTTTGATGAAGTGGTTTGTCCTCCATCTGTTTCAACGTTGATGTAAGAACTCTTGATAAGAGATTTGGCAAAAACCCTAAGGTCGAAGCACTGTTCAGGTTTTTCCTCATACCAGGAAAAACTGGAAAATGAAACTATTTCCCTAGTAAACTGGAAAAAATAACACAAGGAAGTAAAAAGCATATAGTAGGACATCATATGTTTCTTTGGAAGAACCTGCATGCCCAAACATGTCTGGATGCGTTTTCATTTTTTAAAAAGTACATTGAGGAAATATTCTGATACTGATGTAAATAAGAGGTCATGTGTGTGCCATTTGTCTGTCTGTGTGTAAAAACATGAACCTGTCTTGCGTTTAGCACGTTAGATTCTGAGTTATACATCACTGGATCCTATAAGCTACAGACAGAAACAAAACAGAACCGAACCAAAGAAAGTTTGTCTTGACACTGATTTATTAAGCATTGATCAGACTAAACAATCTCTGGCAGCCAGCAGCCGGCGTACATCAGTGTGTTGTAAGGGCACAGATTCGAGGTGGTTTAAAACCCTTCATTATGATATTCACATTCAGGTTTCATATTTACTGAACAAACACTTTCTGACCAAAGAGGTTAAACAAACTGATGTGATCCGATCCTAATAAACCATAACGTTAGATAAACCACTGATATTTGAACTCATGTTAGATTCCCACGGAGGTGTGTCTCTTTCTGTCTACCGCACTAATTCTCTACTGTAAATAGTCTCTGTTCTGAATTATTAAGAGTTGTCATTGTCTTTCGTAAGGCTTGATTCACCTGTGCTTACCCGTTCTGACATCATCACGGCGGCCTGACGTGATAGAAAGACTGCTTGACAACTATTGTGATATTTGTTCGGTAAAAACAGTCAAGCGTTGCCTCGCAACCAGTTAAACATGTTTGTGTGAATGATTACATGAAGTTGAAGAGTGTAGTTGATGTTGATGATAGTAATGAATTTCTATTCTAATGTTTTTCTAATTTCTCTGTTGTCTTGCCCCAGTCTCTAGAGCAGGACCAGATGTCCCTACAGACGATGAAGAAAATTGTAAAAGCCATCCACATCTCTGGACTCAGTGAGTGCAGTCTTATTTTGTGGAACTTTGTATTCCTTTTGTTTGCTTGTTTGTTGAATTTTTTCATCTAGTACAGTGCTTCTTAACCTTTTCCAAGGCTTCTTAACTCCAAGGCTTTTCGTCGTCCACAGCAATATGTGGAGGCCCAACACTCCTAGTTTCTATAAATTAAACCGCAGGATTCCAGACATTTTAAGAGCTGAATGTTCTTCAGGTATCCCACCTGTTTGAATGAAGATTATAAAAGATAATAATTTTTAAGAATATTTTTTAAACACAATTTCTATTCTATCCCATTGAAATATGTTTGCAAAACTACAAAAAGGTGTTTATTCAGTGTTAAAAGATTTTATTAATTTACCTGACTTTTTTCAGGTCTAGAAATCACACTTTTAAAATTAGGCTACCACATACTCCCCTGTGGGATACCTGGCCCTTCAAAAAAAAAAAAAACGTTGTTGAGTGAGTACATTTCAAAAGAAATATGATTTTCTTTACTTGTCTTAGGTGATTTTAATGGTTAAAAGATTTTATTAATTTACCTGACTTTTTTCAGGTCTAGAAATCACACTTTTAAAATTAGGCTACCACATACTCCCCTGTGGGATACCTGGCCCTTCAAAAAAAAAAAAAAAAAGTTGTTGAGTGAGTACATTTCAAAAGAAATATGATTTTCTTTACTTGTCTTAGGTGATTTTAATGCTTGTTTTGTCATGTTTTAAATCATTTTAAGTCATCTTGAGGCACTCTTGGAAGTTTGCTGAAGCCTCTCAGTGGGCCCCGGCCCCTGGTTGGAAACCACTGGTCTAGTACATAAGCAAAAATATGTATTTTCTGTGAGTTTTGGGTAATATGAAGTGGGTTTTTAGAGAGATTTTCAGGAAGTCTGGTTCACTATCACTTAGTATTCAAACCTCAGACTGTTACATCAGAGTCAGCTTGTAATGCCATGAAGATGCTTAATTAAATAACAATAGTTGCTAAAGTGAAAGATTTGTGGAAAAAAGTCTTCCAAAAACACATTTCCTAAAAGAATTGCAGTGAGGTCATTCTTAGTTTCTCTCTCTCGCTCTCTCTGTCACACAAATGAAGGATGACAGAAATTGGGGCCCAGACTTGCACTGACATCACAACCACTAATCTCTCAAATAAAGAGCAGATCGTGTGTTTTCCTGTTTTTGACACCGAGTCAGAGTGTAGAAAATAAAAACCACTGAAACTTGCTTCACTGTTTTATTTAACCTCACAGTTCTCCTAAGGTCTCCTAATGACCCTATGCTGAGTAAAATTACATACAGTTTCAGTGCCTTATTCTGTCCATCCTGCACAACGCACATGACCACTGGTTACACCTCTGTAAGCAGTTTGGCTGCATGTGCATTGAAACTTTATCACATGATCAAATTTGTACTTTTTTTTTTTTTTTTTTAACCATCAGCGTCTTTACTGTACTGAAACATCAGGGGGATATCTGTGTGTTTACATCTGCTCCTCCTCTCTGAAATGAGAAATTGCCCCACAGACCTGGCCAGTACACTATTTATAATGTTTTGTTGTGCTTACAAAAGTCCTGACTGGAATGATCATGGTTTCTGGGAATTGTGTCTCAGATCTGCCTGCTTCTCATTTCTGAGGGCGCATGCCCCATTTCTCAATTCTGTGTTTCACAGTTCAGTTAAAAGCAAAGGAGACCCCACGTTTTATCATCTCCCCCCTCGTCGTCACTCACTCTCTTTCTCTCTCTTTCTTTTAACTGAAATCAGATGTCTCATTCCGGTAACACTACTATTGAGGGGCCTCAATTTTCTGCCCCTGTGTGTTTGTGGTGGAGCTCAACTTGGTTTAGGAGTGAGACCAAACCTGAACCCGATAAAATCAGCACTGTTTCTGATTCACCCCATCCTTCTCACTGTGCCGGGATATAGTTGTTTGTGTGCGAGAAGCTGTTTTGTAGCTGATTCACAGCTAGGGCATTTATCGGTTCTGTGCAGCATCAAGCAGGTTTATTAGTCTTTAGAGCTTTTACTCTTACTCTTTTACTGTTTACTCATCCTGGTTAGAAACCAGTGTTTGAGTCCAGAGTCCATGATGTTTTTTGGGTCAATATACTGTATATAGATAGAAATGTCTTTTTGTTGGTTTGTTAGTGGTTAGCCATTACTATTAGTATTTTTCATACGTTCTGTTACAGATGTGAACAAAAAGTCATTTTGGAGTGAAATTCATGGCTCGCTGTTGGTGCTGTGAACATGAATGATGCCCCAAATCCACGTTGTTATAATTTAGAATTTTTTTTATTTAATTTTTATTTTCAATTCATCTAATCTGTTTAGTTTAGTAGTTTTTTTTAATAGAATTTTAAATTTATATACCTTTTTTAAATTTTATTTCTAGTAATTTAGACCTGCCAAAGTTTGTGCTAATTGCTATCATTTAAAAATGGCCCAGTCTAGTGTTATTGCTATCAAGTGGCATTTTCCCTTTATTCAGGTGGGTTGTTAAGGTTTTGAGTTTTATAATATGCCATGTATTGAAAACTAAAATGTATTTGTGGACTTTTTATTTTAGTTTAGTTAATGTTGAGTCATGAAAATACATGTCAGTTTTAGTTTGTTTTTTAAGTTATGTATGTATTTTCACCTGTTGGGTAATAAAAACTCATCTTCAATGAGGGATGAATGATTTTTATGAATTAATTCACTTCAGAGATGATATGAGACTCTCTGAAGGTTATTTAGAGAGCTATATATTTAGTCTATATTGTCTGTCTGTAATCTAACAGTGTCACAGTGTAAAACAGCTGTTGACCGTGGACTAAATTTAGCTTAAGACATGCAATCACAGATGTGGCAGGCGCTTTAAAGTGTTGATCTAGGGGTCAATTTTCTAAAAATCCAGGAACAGGATCTGCTTCAAGGTTCATTTGCGCTTCACCTACCATCTCTGGAACAGATCAAGGTCTCAAACATGTCAAAAAATGAATTAACAATGCAAATTAAAATTGTGGGTCTGAAAATGCTCACAGATGCCTGTTGAGAGAATAAAACCGTTTCCAGATCAGGTCCTTAGAGTGCTTGGTGCCTGCGAGTGAAGTGCAGTGTTGTTTGAGCTGGACTGACTCACTGGAAAAACACTGTTGATTGAAGTCCACAGAAGAGGAAGTTTCAGCTAGATATTTGATTAACCAACTCCAGAAAAAAATCCCCAATCCCCTTTATTATTGTACTTTTTCTGAAAGTGATACTGAACTCATCTCGATGTTTCTCCTATCTTGAAAAACAAAACTCAACCCAAAACCAGATAATGCAAGTTTATTTATTAAGGAAATTATCTTACATTCCCAGACTCTTTAGAGTCTAGACTGATGTCCTGATGTAGATATGTTTATATCTGATTTTTCATTGGCAGTTTATGTTAACTAATGAATTAACTAATGAAGCCCTAATGTAAAGTGTGACCAAACAATAAAGAATCAAAACACTTTCAAACAATATCTAGGGCATGTTGTAGTCCAGATTAAAATGTAAAAAAAAAGTTTTAAAATAAATAGCCTATTAAGTCTAAATATTTAAGTATTTGGCGCGGTGATGAACATCATAGCAAATACACAAATCTGAATGGCTGTTTAAATAATTTAAACACCTTTCAGAAACAGAAAGTAGTGCAGCTGCTTTGTTTACAGGGTTTCTGGGGTAACAGCTGCATTTCTGCAGTTTAGCGCCATCTGCTGTCAGAGTCTCTCACCTGTTCCGCCATGTGCTTCTCGTCCGCGCTTGTTTACATCAGAGTGTGCACGCCTCTTTCACGCAGCATACAGCGGTGTTGTGTATTTTGACCAGTTGATGGGAAAAGTATTCTTAAAATGCATTCAAAATTCTGAATAATTTGTAATATAGAATTATTCATGGTATTTAGAAGTGCCCACGATAACAATATCGTGCCTATTCATTACCGTGATATATCGCATTACCGAATACCGGCACATGTCTACTCAAAATCCTGTTTTCCTCTATTCATTTGATCATGCGGTGAGGTTTGCAAGGTCTCACAGTTTCAGAAGATGGATAAAGGTCATCACGTTTAAAAATTACAGCTGTACCATAAAAAATTAGTGTTTTAAAGAAATCTAAGTCGGTCTATTTTCTTAATATTCTATTGTCCACTGCTGTTCAAGATTTTGGTGTAAGATTTTTTTATTTTTTTTTAATAAATTAATATTCAGTAAGGATGCATTAAATTGATAAAGTCATAGTAAAGATATTTATAATGTTAGAAAAGATTTCTATTTCAAAAAAATCCTTTTGAATTTTGTTCATCAAAGTACTTTGTTCACCAAAGTGTCCATCAAGGTATTCACAGTTTCCACAAAAATATTAAGCAGCACAGCTGTTTTCAACTGATAATAATAAGAAATTTTCCTGGTGCACCAAATCAGCATATTAGAATGATTTCTAAAGGATCATGTGACACTGAAGAGTAATCGCTTATGACATAGTTTCAGAAGATGGATAAAGGTCATCACGTTTAAAAATTACAGCTGTACCATAAAAAATTAGTGTTTTAAAGAAATCTAAGTCGGTCTATTTTCTTAATATTCTATTGTCCACTGCTGTTCAAGATTTTGGTGTAAGATTTTTTATTTTTTTTTAATAAATTAATATTCAGTAAGGATGCATTAAATTGATAAAGTCATAGTAAAGATATTTATAATGTTAGAAAAGATTTCTATTTCAAAAAAATCCTTTTGAATTTTGTTCATCAAAGTACTTTGTTCACCAAAGTGTCCATCAAGGTATTCACAGTTTCCACAAAAATATTAAGCAGCACAGCTGTTTTCAACTGATAATAATAAGAAATTTTCCTGGTGCACCAAATCAGCATATTAGAATGATTTCTAAAGGATCATGTGACACTGAAGAGTAATCGCTTATGAAAATTTAGCTTTGCCATTTGCCAGGAATAAACTACATTTCAAAATATATTAAAATAGAAAGCAGTTATTTTAAATGCTGATAATATTTCACAAATATTACTGAGCAAATGCAGTACATCATTTCAGACTGAACTATAGATGCTTTCACAATCCTGTCAATTCCTGATGGATAAAATCAAGTCCCACCTACATTTGTTTTTCAATGAATATCCTGTTTCTCATGGAATTGTGTCACATTACGGAAGAAAAGTGGACTGCAAATGCAGTTTTGTATTGATTTCTTATGTCTCCTGTAATCTGCAGAAAGGTCACAGGATTGTCTTGATTTTGATTGTGTGATGTTGTGTTTCCAGATCATGTGGAAAATAAGGAACACTACACAGAGGTTCTGGAGAATCTGGGGAACAGTCACCTGATGCAGGATAATAACGAGATCTCCACAGGCTTCCTGAACCTGGCTGTGTTCACACGAGAGATCACAGCACTCTTCAAAAACCTGGTGAGCAGGACACCATCCTGAAACTACAAAGGCTGAACACTTTAAAAGGGATATAATGCTGAATATTTTTTTATCCCATTTAAGGCCCATTCCTTGCAGCCGAGAAAACTGATATATTCTAGTCGAAGTGTTCAAGTGTTAGTTTCTCGTGTCAGTCCAAAATCTACTTACAGCTTTTCTGTTTTCAGATATTTTTGAGGGAATTTTAAGTCAATAGCGAAATAAGAATTTTCGTGGACTTCATATTTGCTGTCATTATAAATCACCATAACATCACTCTGCTCTCTAAATATCAACACTGGCCATTAAAAAGCACATATCGGTTTACCACAAATTTAGCTTCCAGGTGCAGCATAAAGTTCAGTGAAGCGTAAATGTTAATTACCTGTATAATTCAAGGCCAACATGAACATTTTTCTACCTTTGAGAGGAAACTTTTTAAGTACTGTCTGTACCTTTGGGTGTGTGCCTGTGCGGCTTGTCTTCTGGATATATTTCTGAATAAGAAACAGCAGACTTCCAGCGGTACAATTTACACAGGGGACTGGGATAGGTAGTTTTGTGTGTGTGTGTGTGTGTGTGTGTGTGTCAGCAGGGGTTCAACAGCTGCAGGCGAGGGCCCCTCAAACCACAGCTCCCGGAACCCTCCCACTGATAGTTTCCATGGTGATGGTAATTTATACCAGACCTGAGAGCATGAGTGGATAGCATCTGACCACTGAGCTGTCAATGAAACAATCACCAGGGACAGGAACCTCAGCCTAAAAAATACAACAGAAACTCTGCTAAGAAAATAAACTCCATTTGATTTAGCGTCCTTATGTGGAGGCTAAACTTTCCCTCAGAGTCAAGCCCATTTTTCCTGTTCATGAAGACTTATATTCATAACATCCATTTTGCAAGGTTATAAATCCATATTCAGCACAATTATGAGATGACTCCCATGATTACTTTTAATTTACACTCATGTGTTTAGCACAATATGTATTTAATATTTAGTGTGAAAGAGTTCACTTGTGTCTTTTTACTTTTTTAGTGGTCAAGCAAGGTGTTTTTTTATCATTCATTAGCTCCAGTGCTGTCTCTATACAGCACAGTGGCTGATATAATGCCTATATATATATATATACACACACAGTGGTGTGAAAAAGTGTTGGCCCCCTTCCTGATTATTTTTTTGCATGTTTGTCACACTTTAATGTTTCAGATCATCAAACAAATTTAAATATTAGTCAAAGATAACACAAGTAAACACAACATGCAGTTTTTAAATGAAGGTTTTTATTATTAAGGGAAAACAAAATCCAAAACTACATGGCCCTGTGTGAAGAAGTGTTTGCCCCCCTGTTAAAATTGTGGTTTATCACACCTGAGTTCAATTTCTCTAGCCACACCCAGGCCTGATTACTGCCACACCTATTCACAATCAAGAAATCTCTTAAATAGGACCTGGCTGACAAAATAGACCAAAAGATCCTCAAAAGCTAGACATCATGCCGAGATCCAAAGAAATTCTGAAAAAAATGAGTAAGTAATTGAGATCTATCAGTCTGGAAAAGGTTATAAAGCAATTTCTAAAGCTTTGGGACTCCAGCGAACCACAATGAGAGCCATTATTCACAAATGGCAAAAACATGGAACAGTGGAGAACCTTCCCAGGAGTGGCCAGCCGACCAAAATTACCCCAAGAGCACAGCGACGACTCATCCAAGAGATCACAAAAGACCCCACAACAACATCCAAAGAACTGCAGGCCTCACTTGCCTCAGTTAAGGTCAGTGTTCATGACTCCACCATAAGAAAGAGACTGGGCAAAAATGGTCAGCATGGCAGAGTTCCAAGACGAAAACCACTGCTGAGCAAAAAGAACAAAGGCTCATCTCAGTTTTGCCAGAAAACATCTAGATGATTGACACACAACTTTTTGGAAGGTGTGTGTCCCATTACATCTGGCCAAAAAATCCTAAAGTTGAATGTCCGGCCATCTGTTCGTGATCTCAAGCTGAAGCGAACTTGGGTTCTGCAGCAGGACAATGATCCAAAACACACCAGCAAGTCCACCTCTGAATGGCTGAAGAAAAACAAAATGAAGACTTTGGGGTGGCCTAGTCAAAGTCCTGACCTGAATCCTATTGAGATGCTGTGGCATGACCTTAAAAAGGCGGTTCATGCTCGAAAACCCTCCAATGTGGCTGAATTACAACAATTCTGCATAGATGAGTGGACCAAAATTCCTCCACGGCGCTGTAACAGACTCATTGCAAGTTATCGCAAACGCTTGATTGCAGTTGTTGCTGCTAAGGGTGGCCCAACCATTTATTAGGTTTAGGGGGCAAACACTTTTTCACACAGGTCCATGTAGTTTTGGATTTGGTTTTCCCTTAATAATAAAAACCTTCATTTAAAACTGCATGTTGTGTTCACTTGTGTTATCTTTTACTAATATTTAAATTAGTTTGATGATCTGAAACATTAAAGTGTGACAAACATGCAAAAAAATAAGAAATCAGGAAGGGGGCCAACACTTTTTCACACCACTGTATATACATACACTGCCATTCAAAAGTTTAAAATTTGTAAGATTTGTAATATTTTTTTAAAGAAGTCTCTTCTGTTCATCGTGGCTGCATTTATTTGACCAAAAATACAGAAAAAACAGTAATATTGTAAAATATTATTACCATTTTAAAATAATGGTTTTCTATTTTAATATACCTTAAAATATAATTTATTTCTGTGATGCAAAGCTGAAATTTTCATCAGCCATTACTACAGTCTTCAGTGTCATATGGTCCTTCAGAAATCATTCTAATATGCTGCTTTATTATCAATATTGGAAACTGTTTTGCTGCTTAATATTGTTTGGAACACGTGATACTTTTTTCAGGATTCTTTGAATAAAAAGGTAAAAAGAACAGCATTTATTAAAAATAGAAATATTTTGTAACAATATACACTACCGTTGAAAAGTTTGGGGTCAGTATTTTTTTTTTTTTCTTTTTTGAAGGAAATGGATGTTAAATTGTTAAATATCAATTACTGAAATAAAAATGATAATTTAAAAAAAATGTAACAATGGTGTCAGTAGATTTAAAACTGACATTTAAAGAGGAAACTGAAAGTCCGAAAGGCTGTCCTTTGTTTGAAATGAATCAGTCTTATTTTTCTTTCATCCTGGAGTGGGTTTGTCCTCGCACATTCTTTCCTAAGGAAGATTTATACTTGCTTAGCACTTTTATGCACTTTGCTGAGGAGAAATCCCAAACAGAGTTTTACCTTTTGCATTTTAACATGCAGATTTATGGTTTGCAAGCATTTGTACATTCAGACTAGACTAGGAAGGGTTATGCCTTGCCAGGCAAATGTGAGCGCTCACTTTGAAAAGTGAGTTAGTTAACATTAGCATTTGCACATGTTCTGGCTGACATTCAGATGTTGTTTTTAGTTTCTTTCTGGTTTCTGTATCTGTTACATTATTTCGTCATACCTGTTTGTTCTCGAGTGTGTGTCTGCCTGAATTTATGTGTACTTTCTGATGGTTCTTTAGGTGAAAAACCTGAACAACATAATTTCTTTCCCTCTGGAGAACGTGCTAAAGACTGAGTTGAGAGACAGCAGGCTGGTGAGTGAGACAGATACCTGCTGCGTCACTCTGTGTCATCATACTGGACTAAAACCCCAACTGAATTGATAGTTGAAATCAAATAAAGAGACTTATAAAGGCCATGAAGTTAAATTCATTCCTTTAAAGAGTCAACAGTGCATCATGCTGTTTTGTAACAAGGTTTGGCATGTAGTTTGTTTGGGGTTGTGTTTTCTAATGTCATAAACGCAATAGCTGCACCACACCTTTCTTTGAGTTTAACCGGTATGAGGAGTGGAGACATAGTGCAGGGCTCGGAGATCAAGTTTTGATACACACCCTGATATTATTACTTGCACAATATTAATTGTCCACAATAAAGATGGCCTTTATTGCATCACGCTTTTAAGGCAACACGGTGTAAACTCTTTTATGTATGTATATATATATATATATATATATACAGGTATATCTCAATAAATTAGAATGTCGTGGAAAAGTTCATTTATTTCAGTAATTCAACTCAAATTGTGAAACTCGTGTATTAAATAAATTCAATGCACACAGACTGAAGTAGTTTAAGTCTTTGGTTCTTTTAATTGGGATGATTTTGGCTCACATTTAACAAAAACCCACCAATTCACTATCTCAACAAACTAGAATACTTCATAAGA